TTACTTTTTTATTTCTTGGTCAATTTTGATATTTGTAGAATATGATAAACAAGATCATCAAGGAAAGGCGGCGTTGATAATTTTAGACTCAAGTAAAAAAATTCTGGAAACAAAGTGATCCCTCAGAAGCATTAATCACAACAAAATGACATAAGAATTGCAGACTCGGTTTGATTGAGTCTGTACATGAGAGATAATGAATAAGTGCAAAATCCCTCACGCCCCCTAGCACCGGATTGAGCGGTACTCAATTCTCAACACTTAATAGTGCTTAAGAATCTATAATGAACTTTCTAGTGATGCCTTAAAAATGAAAATTAATTACGTAGAAGTATTAAAAATTTTGTTTCTAACTTATCGTTATTTATTATTTTTCTCTTAAATCCACAGTCATATATTCAGAAAAAAATAACGTCGCTTCCTTTAGATACTTTATTCAAAAGGAAAACGAATATTGAATGAAGTTAAGACCATAAGTTTTGAACAAGTATATTAAAAATCTGGAAACAAAGTGATCCCTCGGAAGCATTAATCACAACAAAATTACATAAGAATTGCAGATTCGGTTTGATTGAGTCTGCACATGAAGGATAATGAACAAGTGCAACATGCCTCACGCCCCTTAGCACCGGCTTGAACGGTACTCAATTCTCAACACTTAATAGCGCTGACATCAATGATCCCGAAAGACCAGAAAAATATAACAACACTAAAGTGAAGTACGGGGCAACTTTTTACAACTGCCACACGGCACTTGACACCTGCTGTTGTGAAGTATAAAAATCTGGAAATAAAGTGATCCCTCGGAAGCATTAATTACTACAAAATTACATATGAATTGCAGACTCGGTTTGCTCTAGTTTTTATTTCTTTGATTACCCCCCCCCCCTTCCCCCGGTCTCCTGTCCCCTTCCCCTTATGGGCCTATTATTATTTTCTTTGAATTCCTAATCAGTTCCAAATTATTTATCATTTAATGATTAACCTGTCCGTGCTCTGTCTTTGCCCTGTCCTGTTTTTGTTTGGGGCCCACCTGGGCTCCTTGCCGTTGGTTCTTGTTGCTGGGTCATATGGGGGTTGCGTTTATTGAACGCCGCATTTCCTTGTTGATCTTGTTTATCATATTTGATTGAGTCTGTACATGAGGGATAAAGAACAAGTGCAAAACGTTTTTATTTATACTGAAAATACCTTATTAAAGATTGTACATATGTGCTACGGATAAGTATTTTCTTGATTTCGAAAAGGAAATCTCGGTGGCCGCTTTAAATTATACTTGCATAGCTTTTGTTGAAATGAAATTTGTGCCAATACATTTTTTAAAATGATACCATTAAGAATATAGGATGGTTTTTTACATTATCAATAAAATTACTCCCTTGAAGTTGGTCATTGTTTCCCCTAAAAATTTCCAAATTGCCGATGTTTCTCAGGAAAATATGATAAACAAGATCAACAAGGAAAGGCGGCGCTCAATGAACGCAACCCCACATGACCCAGCAACAAGAACAAGTGGCAAGAAGCCCAGGCGGACCCAAAACAAAACACAGGACAAGACACTAGGCAGAGCACGGACAGGCTAATCACTAAAATGATAAATAATTTGTAACTGATAAGAACATGATGTTAAATAATAAGGTAATGCATAAGTTATCTTCAAACCACTTTTGAATGAATTTATTGTTATTTTTACAAGATACGGGCATTTTACAGTTGATCCAAATATTGATCTTGATCCTAAAATTTATCCTTATTTTGATCCGAATATTTTTGTATTTGTTTTGTTATTTGTTAATTTTATCCCAAAATAGTTTGATTTCTTTGTAAATCAGCAATTGTTTACATTTTTAAATATTTACTATCAATTCTAGCAAAACATAATTAATTTTGGTAACATTAAACAATGAAAATAAAATTAGGATCACTTGATCCTGATCCTGATCTTTTCTTTGTGAACACGGGGCCAGGTGCCAGTTCGTGCCTGAAATAATGCACGGAAGGGCACCTGAGGTCTTCCTCCACCAGAAAAGCTGGAACGTCGCGATATGACCTATACTGTGTCGATGTGACGTTAAACCCAAAACAAACAAACAAAATCTTCATCATAAATGGTAAAATCAGCAATTTTCATGTGATGTTGCTAGTGACAAAACTTTTGTAACAAATGTAACATATATATGTTATGAAAAATGCCGTGTGTTGTCCTTCAGTTTTATTTAAAAATATGGGAGAGGCGCCGTTTTATACCTGTCCGCAATAGAAGTTCGTAAATACTACGAGAGGGGCGGGGCGTTATGCTTGACTTAAAATCGTTTAACTTTGTGAATCTACTTTTGTCATTTTAAACAATGTTACTGTGTTAACGTTCTCTTGTAGTTCTACAACTGGTAACACGTTTTCTTAAACTCTATTTTCCGTATTCGAGTTTTACGTTTCATCTGTATATTTCAGATCTATAAGTGTGCAAACATGCATATGTACTGCATGCAATGGAAGATACGAACTTGTAAATTTGTTGTCGTTTTAGATGTTAGGTCAGTTGTTACGATATATATGTAAACTTGTTATATAAAGGCGGTAACATTCAATTAAAAGATTGAATTAAGAGGTATACAATAAAAATGGTAGGCATACAATTTCGCAGTTTCAAAAGTCATTTTAAAAAGGAACACTTTACATGTCTGGAATTTTGGCAACGAACGCCCTCCATACGACTGTGCTATGTTCTCTGCGTCCTTACGGCGACTCTACGACGACTATTGCGTTTGTCCGGCGACTGTCCTGCGACTGTACGACGACCCTACTACGTTCTTGCTACGTCTATAAAAACAATATTTTTTACCATTAAATTTCATTCTGAGTCTGACCTTACGGCGTCCTTAGTACGAGTGTACTACGTCTATTGCGTTCTTATTGCGTCCTTACTACGATGCTGCTGCGACTATGGCGACTCCAATGCGATCCCACGGCGACCTAACCAGGACTCAGCAAGAACGCAGAGTTTCTGCGACTGTTTATTGCATGTTCAAAATAGTCGCCGACGGTCTGCGACCTTGTGCGTCCTTGGGTTCCTCGCTACGACCTCGCTGCGTCACTGCTGCGTCCATGGCGACTGTGCTGCGTCCTGGGTCGTAGCAAGGTCGCAGTAAGGACGCATTAAGGTCGCGAGGTATGTGTGAGGGCAGTATAAGTCAAATGAGGCCCGAAATATAATATGTTGGCCATCGACCTTCATTCTGCTTTAACACTGTTTAAACTCACCACTTCGAAAACTCCTGACTGCTGGTGGGTAGTACATTTTTAACCTTCCGCCGTCAAATGAGTTCCTGGAAAATACACAAAAAAAACTTTTTAAAGTCATCCTATAACACATAAAAACTACACACATGCAATAAATACACTTTTATAATGACCAATCAGACTAGCGAGAACTTTAATTTGGCCACTTCAAAAATTAAAAGAACTACTTTCTAGACTACAACGGTTTAGGTCTAATTCCGTACCGGGGTGAGACCAATAATGCCCGCTCAGGCCATCCTCGGTAACCTAGTTTAATTCCCGTATACATATTAAATGTAGTAAATGTGTACCGTGGGTACCGCCGATGGCTCAGGCGGTCACTATCCTTTTTTGTTCATCAAGGATACTATACTATTCAAAGGCCCGCTGACACTTACATAGATACAGAAGGAGCATGTTTATATCAACAAATAATGACTGAGAAGTTATACTTTTTGAGTGCCATATTACCGTCGTTTAGCATCGTCGTTGCATATTTGCATATCTTATATCACAATTTTTAATATGTTATTATGGAAATATTTGCTGTTTTTAACAGCATATTAGGCAACAAAGGGACAGTACTAATACTTATTTTGACGCGTTGATTCATCATGCATTATCTCCCATAGAATGTTAATTCAATGTCGATTTTAACATATATATTATGTATAAAACATATATAAAAAGACTTATATAAATAAATCAAATTTACATGAATAAAGTAATATTATCAGTACTATCCACATAAAATATATAAAAAAAACTGACATGAAAAAAATCTATTTGGATTTTGTTTTGTTAACCCTTTGCTTTAAATTTGCTGTCACTAAACATTATTCATTCTTATAATATGATTAAGTAAAAAGTACATATGCAATGAAAGTCTGGGTTGGGGTGGGAGGGATAAACTTTAAAGTCAAAATACTTGGACATTTAAGAGGTGTGGCAGGAGATATTGTGTTTCATTTGGTTCCTTATAAAATAATTGCAGTCTATTTCAATGTAAAAAAGAGCATTAAAAAAGAAAAAATAAAGCAAAAATATAATTCTTTTATCATTAAATTTTCCATTTTAATATCACATCTAAAGTTCTTCTGTCTGTTAACACATATCTGTTTGCTATTTTACACTTAACACATTGAAAAGTTTTAATTGACTTGTCTGTCTTTTCAATTTGTTTAAATTTCATTTATTTATTTTTAAGATGAAACTAACTAAATAGCGACCAGTGCAGACGATGATTGGACGTCACGAATGTACAGGCTGATCTTGGTCTGCACTGGTCGCAGGGGTTAAAATCAGCCGATACCAGGTGGCTTTAGGTTAATATAACCTACCTTATCTGACCTAGAATAAACTTGAACTTTTAATGCAATTGGAATAACATATGTAATTATCACTGCATATGATTTTCAAATTTTTCCGATGTTATTATAAACCGTTTTTAGTTTGAAAAGGAAAATATGTATTTTGGTCTGTTTTTGAACTGAAAATAAAAATGCAAGGTTTACTTTACAATCGGTTAATGTAAAACGCCATAACATGTCATTCAATACAATATAATCGATACGGTACACATTTACAGTGATCCGATACCCGTGACGGCCTCGAGTTAGAATTCAATCTATTTTTAGAAATGTTCCATATTTTACCCGACATGATTTCGTTTTAGTAAATTTTAAGTATTTTATAATAATATTGAATGATTTAAAGGTATTTTCTACCGTGACCTTCGATTTACTTAAACATGTTCTAATTAAATATAATATATTGATCGATTTTACACTATACGTTAAATCCTATAATATTGGTATTTCATTTATTCTAACTACATGTATATTTTACAAATATGGACTTCGTTTTACATATAGGTGTGGGCAGTCATGGGATCAGGAAGCTCGAAAAATGATAAGAAAAATGGAAATGGAATTACGCCTGCGGTAAAGACAGAAATTCATACACCGGTCAAAGAACAACCAGCACAGGAAGTTCGAAAAGAAGAAATGTTCCGGACATTTAAAGCAGAACAAAACTCGCCGTCAGCAACAAAAACGAATAAATCCGGTAATGCGAATGAAGCTGAATTACCTTGGAAACAAGCCTTGGATAAAGTAGAAGCGATGGAGATATGGGAGGGAAAAAACCGGGAAGAAAGGAGTCCATGGAAAGAATATTTACAGAAAGCAGACGACATTTTAAAGAAACCGCGTAAAGCGATTCCTAAGGTGAGAACATATTTAACATGTGTGTAAATAGCGCTTTATATGTTTTATCTTCTGCTTTGGTATTGTATTACACGTTGTTATTGTATTACACGTAATAATATGTTAAATACATTTAAAAAGTCAAAATGATTTGAATCCGAGAAATGTGTATAATTGATATAAATAAATGACAAACAGAAATTTATCTTGATAATCGTGATAATAAGATAAGATAATAATCTCTCGTGATTAAAAGATTACTAAGACATTATTATGAGGTACTACTGAGATCCTTTACAAAGCCGTACATGTCGTAATTTAAGAGTCCTTTTAGAAAAAATAGTATAAATGACACTTTTCGGCTTTCGTTTATTTTTATTGATATAAGTATACATGTATAATGATAAAGATAAATCTATCTCGACTTTTCGGGATACTAAGTCGTAAGTACATGAGAACTATTTCGCAATCACGAGATACTAACCGTAATTTCGAGATATAAAGGATAAAACAAGGAGGTTGAACGGATGGAGAAAATATATTTGAGCCGCGTCACGACAAAACCAACACAGCGGGTTTGCGACCAGCATGGATCCAGACCAGCCTGCGCCTCCGCGCAGTCTAATCAGGAGCCATGCTGTTCGCTTACCAACTCTATTACAAGTAAGGAAACTGATAGCGAATATCATGGGACCTGATCAGATTGCGCAAAGGCGCAGGCTGGTCTAGATCCATGCTGGTTGCAAACCCATTATGTTGGTTTTGTCATGATGGGGTTCATTTATCAATTGACTTAACTAAATCAATGCTAAAAAGTATCAAATGTTACATGAAAATATTCAATTATGACACAGTAAAGTTGCATTTTTTTCAAAACGGGGAATATTATGACATACTTATTCAGACAACGTTTTCGTGTTTTATGAATAATGCCCCGATTTATGACTAAAAGCTTTCATTATATTTACGAATATTAAAGGGCATCCGTATGCGTGTGGTTAAGGTCGTTGACTTCAAAACACTTGCCTCTAATAGCTGTAAGTTCAAGCCCTGCTAGCGTGGTCTGCTTCTGCATGTGAGAAAAGCTATCAAACTTGCTCATGGATCGCCGGTTGTTCTACTCAGGTGCCTGAAACAACGTGTCTGTCCTATACCAGTTAAGTTGGAAGTCGCCACGTGACTATGTTGGTGCGACATAAAACCCAACCAAAGACATTGTATGTAGCTGTTGGTATATTGCAATAGTTCAGCAAATATAAAACAATAGATCGATTAAAATAATATTTCTTTAAGTCCTGATTACGTTAATCATTTTAAGCATTACAAACAGACAAAAATGGAATTCATCCTCAATATAGCATGAATTACAAAATAGACAATAAAGAATATGTAAAATTACAGGAGATAGTGAGTCAGATCCTTCAAGGTGACATGACGGCCGTAGATATATCCAGCGTGCCGACAGCCCAGCCAAAGGTCGTTGTATTTGTCAGTTCAACTTTTACAGACACCAAAGCTGAGCGAAACCATCTTATGAAAGGTAAGTACAAATTTTATTTAAAACTGTTAAAAATGATACAAGCAATGAACGAACAAGTTATATGAATGAATGAATGAATTAATTAATCAATTAATTAATGGCGGAATAAATAAATGAATGAATGATGAATGAATGAATGAATGAATGAATGAATGAATGAATGAACGAACGAACGGACGGATGGACGGATGAACGAATGAATGAATGAATGATTGGTGGGCGGGTGGATGGTAGATGTATGGATGGATGGATGGATGGATGGATGAATGAATGAATGAATGAATGAATGAATGAACGAATGATTGATTGAATGAATGAATGAATGAATGAATGAATGAATGAATGACGGAATGAATGAATGAATGAATGAATGAATGAACGAATGAATGAATGAATGAATGAATGAATGAATGAATGAATAAAAGAGTGAGTGTCTTAGATGATCCTTTTAATCTTAGTTCGTTTACTGTTTCTTAATTAAATAGATGGACGATGCTATATTTACTATTTTTCCTGACTTTGCACCTTATTTCTTTCCCGTTTCTTGCTTAAAAATTGTTAAATCAAAATACTAAATGTTCTAACGATGTAGAAATGTTGGCATCCATGTATCATATATCAGGGACATGTCAACTTCACCGGTACGAACAATTAGTTAATTATATATATTTTTTTTTAAAAAACATGGTCCAATATTTACTTTGTACCAGTAGTTTGTTTAATTATTTAATATTTTCATATTTGTCCGACAATAGAATAATGATTTTAGAACAATCTGAACGATATTTATTGATTAGGTATTGAAGAACTTTTGCTACAGTGTGTAACTCAAAACTGAAAATACATGTACCGTTTGACAAGGCGATGTCAACCACTCATTTTTCATAATTTAACAAATACTTAGTTAACAATTATTTACATTATTGATAAAATAAATATATATATATATATAGGATCTGCCATGAGTACAAGTGTTGTATTTTGATAAAAAAAAAAATATGGAACGAGTTCATGAAAATATAATTACGCGTGTCTCTGGCGTGCTTATTAAACTAAATTTCTGGAAAAAACTTCATTGAAGAATATATTAAATGAAACTCTATCAGACTTTTTTATTTATAAGAGATGCGACTGTTCACGTGATAATATAAAGAAAAAAGTAAATAAATGTTTATCATTTTATGTACATAGAACACAAGATAGGTCAAGTATTAAATAAAACATGTTGGAATTTTTTATGAATGTTTATAAATACATCATTAGCTGTGAATTAAGTTAATAATAAATATAACGGTAAACCAGGAAAATAGTTGACATACGGAATAACTGCCGACTGGCAGACGGATAGAGAAAGGGATACGTACGGACGAACACTGCGGTTCTTAAATGTCTTGTTTCTCTTACACGTAACTGATCCTTGTTTAAGAATACACCTTGTCAAGTTCAATTAAAACTGTCAATATATTAATACATGTAACACATGGGTTTGTGGGTAACAGTAAAAATATCATCCCGGGCAAAATACTGTTAACCGAGGCGTAGCCTGTTACTCACAAACTCATGTGTTATTTATCTTATTACCCCGAACAAAAATACTGTTATGATCTGAAATTGTAATCTAAATCTAACTGTGACAATAACTAACTGTCCTTACTTTTTAAGTTTTAAGTGTACTTTAGGCCTACTTGAGAAGTTTTCTTTTTCTTTTATTCTTTAAGCAAGTGATGAATTCTACTAGTCATAAACATACAATTAGCTGTGTTTTATTGAGAAAACAAAACACTAACCCATTTATACGGTAATGATCTGTGAACTCTGATCCCCCGTATCCACGTGGCTTTTGACAAAAGAACGATGATATCCTATGTCTGTCCACAATATCTGTAATGTTTCTCTGATTAAAATTGTTAAATAATCCTTTGTTGCATGCTTAAATCGTTTGCATGTTCCAGTTTGACGTATAATTATTCACATTTCAATTACTTCCGTTGAAAACGGATGTTAATTTTTTGACTATTCAACAAAAAGATATTTTATACACAAAAAGCACTCCACGGTGCAATCAACTTAATTTTATAGGTCTCATAGTTACTTTGTTAATGATTTTGTAGTGAACGTCGAAAATAAGAATGAATCGAGAAAAATATGGCGGCCATTTTATTTCATTTTAATTAGAAAATAGGACACGTGACCAGATTTTATACTGTTAAAAAGTACTGTAACAGTACACAATTCTTAGTCACGTGGTACACTTGCATTAAAAGTAAGAATAACTCCCAGAGGCCTATGGGAAATTAACATTACGAAAAAAGTAAGGGGTCATGATGATAATATGCATTTTAACAGTTTAATGTCTCATGAAAATAATTAAAAGATAGCTTAACCTTCATTATATTTGATACGAGTTATTTGTTTACTAACATTTTTAATTTGTGGACAATTTTTCTCCAATTTCAGATGTTTATCCATATTTAAGAAGTTTATGCAGGCGACTTGGTGTCGAATTTGGTACAGTGGACATGAGGTGGGGAGTGACAAAAGAGGCCACGCTGGATCACAGTACAGTAGATATGTGCGTCAACGAAATACATAGGTAGGATGAAAATTATGTTTCCTTCATGTCGTTAGCTTTTAATCATTTAATTGATTGATTGACTGACTGACTGACTGACTGACTGATTGATTGATTGATTGATTGATGATTGATTGATTGATTGATTGATTGATTTGAAATTTCGAATTAAGAGCACGGCACACTATATTCTAGACGATTTTTAATTGGCAGCAATATCTAATTTTAACTATCTTATCTGCTACGTCAAATTATTTCTGTTTAAAACTCGGCAGTTGCATGGGATAAGTACTTGTACAAAATCCATTACCATTTATGCGCGCATATATCCTGTGCATTTATCAAATATATCGCTGAAAAATGGCCTATATGGCCGCGTAGTTAGTCTTTGCATATTCCACTTTTCCACTGTACCGCTTTTGGTTTAAATCCCGCCAAGGACTTTGGATACTTTCATTCAAAGAAGTTTCAAAGCCAGCCTATGGAATGATGCTGGTTCTTCTTCGGCATTCCTCCACCAGTAAAGCTGGAAGTTATATATAAACTTAAAATGGATTCTTGTTATAATTAACAGATGTGTTAAAGACAGTGTTGGTCCGGCTTTTCTGTGCCTGATGGGTCACAAGTATGGATATAGACCTCTGCCTGCACAAATAGAGCAATCGGAGTTAGATACTCTTCTACATCATCTGCAACAGGCTGGGCAAGATACTTCGATGATTAAAAGCTTCTATTCACTCGACAATAATGCGGTCCCGTCTGAATTTGTACTAAAACCTCAAACGGAAGACAATAAAACATGGTGGGACGACGTTGAAACGATTCAGAATCAGCTGCGAGAAGCCTCCGCCGCTTGCTTTGGCAAAGAAAACGCGAAATATGACAAATACCATATATCTGTGACCGAAACTGAAATACATGAGGGTGTATTTAACAATCAAAACGCTAAAGATCAAGCTATTTTCATACGTCGAGATCTCGCGAGATTTGATTCGGAATTTCACAAAGATCGTAAAATCCTTGATCTTGTAGGGAAAGAAGTTGACGAATATGCCCATGACAAACTTGCAGAACTCAGGGAAAAGAAGATAACCAGTAAGGTTCATCCCGACACTGTAAGAGATATGAAATATGAAGAAGGAAAACCAACACAGATTACTGATCAAATAAGAGATTTGTGTGAGCATGTTTGTAAAACTATGGCTGATGGAATTCTGGAAAGCTACGAAAAGCGGCTTCATGTTGAAGAGGATAGAGTATTTCAAGAAGCATTGCAACACAGAACCCATGCAAACGAGAAAGCTGGTTTATTTGTTGGGAGGGAACACGAAATTGGAATGATATCAGATTATCTTCACTCAGAGTCATTAACGCCGCTTGTTGTTCACGGTCAATCTGGTTGTGGGAAAACGGCATTAATGGCCGTTGCTGCAAGAAAAGCAAAAGACGTTTTTCACAATGCTGTAGTAGTTCTTCGTTTCCTGGGTACAACCGGACAAACCGCATCCGCTCGGCTACTACTGCTGAACGTGTGTGCGCAGATCACTCGTGTTTTCGACAAAGATTTGTCAGCCATACCTACATCTTACAAAGACCTCGTGAAATACTTCCGAACCTGCCTTGCATTTGCTACATCGGATAAACCTATCATAGTGTTTCTTGATTCATTAGACCAGTTGAATAACGAAGACTTTGGACAAAATTTAGCGTGGCTTTCGTTATCCGAAGATTTGCCTCCGAATGTTAGACTGGTGGTATCATCTTTACCAACCCGTTCTTTAGATATTCTTAAATCCCATCTGAAGGACGCTGTATTTGTTGAAGTTAAGCAATTGTCCATAAATGAAGGACCTGAAATTTTAAACAAAATGCTCGAAGCGAAACATCGCCGTGTGACTGAATCTCAGAAATCACTTATCATTAATGCTTTCAAGAAGTGTCCATTGCCTTTGTTTTTGCGTCTGGTTGTTGACATTGCTGAACGTTGGAAATCGTTTGAAGACGTAGACTCTGATGCTTTAGCAGACGACATGCCCGGCCTGATTACTAAGTTGTTTGATCGACTAGAATCCCGTTATGGTGACATGTTTGTGCACCATTCTCTAGGTTACATAACTGCTTCTAAGAATGGTTTATCACTTGCTGAGCTAGAGGACATACTATCATGTGATGACGAAGTTTTGGACAGTATTTTCAAGTGGTGGATACCACCAATTAGGCGTATGCCTCCACTTCTATGGGCGAGGGTAAGAAACGAGCTTGGCATTTATCTCTCAGAAAAAGGCACCGATGGAATAAGCGCCTATGGATGGTACCATAGGCAGTTCTGGGAAACAGCCGAGAAAAGATACATCCAAAGGCCTTACAATAAAGATAAACAAAACTTTGGCGAAAAAGCCCACACAGCTATTGCAAACTACTTTGAAGGTAAATGGGATAACGGGAAACTGTATACTCACAAAGGAGAGACGAAAAATGAAGATAGAAAAATAGCTAAACAGCCTCTTGTCTTGGGTGGACTAAATCGTGAGACGAAACGACAGCTTAACAGGAGGAAACTCACAGAGCTGCCATATCATCTTATACAACTGAAAGAATGGGACCGGTTTAAAAAGCTCGTATTAGATCTAGAGTATGTCGAGGCAAAGTTTGAAGCTGGTGACGGTTACAATTGTCTTAGTGAACTTATAGAAGCTACAAAACGATCTGCGTGTGAAGATATCAAGAGAATAACTCGGTTTGTTGGATCAAATCTAGGGTTTTTGATAAGAGAACCGTCCGGGGTTTATCAGATGGCTTTACAGCAGGCAAGGGGAAGTTGCATACGAGAACTGTTGGACGTGTTGAACAAGGAAAGTTTACCAATGCCTCTGATGGTAAATCTACACGAATCTGACTATGACGACCCTTGTGAAATGACCATGCATGGACATACCGCGACGCTTCGATGCTGCAACTTTTCACCTACAGGTAAATTATATGCATGTATATATATATGCATTGTCACGCTAAGTAGTGCTGTTACCTCAAAAGAAAAAGGACACATTATGGGTAAAGACCGTCACTTAAGATAAAACTTTTTAGATTCTAAGACCAAATTTGCCTCTGAATAAATGTCATTTGTCAATAAACTTTTTATAACGGTAGCCATAGTTTATTGTAGTTAATTGCCATTTTTATTTATTCACATACAGGTCGGTTTTCTATTGTGTGTTATAATATATAACAAACGCATAAGGTATTTATAACCAAACATATAACAGAGGAATAGAAAAGAAATAAGACTGACACGCTCCTCCTGAAACTTAATATTTACCTCTATCTCATTACAATAAAATTATCATTTTACTCCGTTAATCTACTCTACGAACTTTTTTTCAGGGGATCTTATTCTATCTTCGGCTGACGACTGTACTATGCGGGTCTGGGATGCAACAACAGGGGCTGAGATAGTGACTATTACGTCACTTCCGGAACCAATATTTCCGGATGAAAGTGAAGGCATGCAGCTGATGTTACATCCAGTAAATCCTTCGTGTTTCTCACGCACTGGTGAAAATATAGCAAATGGTACAGAGTTAGGTGAAGTCATGCTTTGGGATAAATCCGGTGTTCAGGTACATTAACACTTCAATCTCATTAAAATCAGTTCATCATTTTCGCTTCCTTACTCTCAACAAAACGAAAAAGTGACGCGTCAGTTGAGATATAATTTTGAGATTGATTAAGAGAAGGGGAGCGTCATTGGGGATATGATGTGAACGAGACTGATTTAAAGTAGTGAAGCGTCCGTTTTATAATCAATTAAGAGGAGCGGAGCGTCACTCTTTTTTTAATATTCCTCGACAATGAGGCCGCTATTTATAACCTTAGCATAAAAGAAATGCTCACTCATATCCTACTAATTATAAAATACTTCCATTACTTGTTGTTTTCGTTTAAATGCTCCAAAGCTCAATGGACATTTTTCTGACATTGCTCGCTATTCCTTGCCGTCTTCTAGAAATCAGCAAATAACTGAAATAACGTTTTATAACACAATATTGCTATGTTAATAAATGTGTATTTAGTTGTACCTAGCCTCGTTGCTGCATAAATTACCATGAAGGCGAGCCCAACGCTTTTGAAATATATATAGTTGACTCTCGTATCTCAAATTTCAGGAAATTACTTCTGTATGTAAAAACGAAAATTGACGAAGTTTGCCGAATAATTACAAACTGTTTTTAAATGGAATTCCATAGATATATTGCTAATCCTTAGTACTGACGCAAAATCGAATGAACTAAATAACATGACAAAATATATAACTAGCTTGTTGGTGTTTTTTATTATGGTGTAAAAAGTGTGTTTAATATCTTATAAATGGCTTATTGTTTTGTATTATTGTTTTCTTCCAGTTATGCTCTCAGAGCACGGGTAATAAGGCGGTGGTGTATATACAATTCTCCCCAGACAATCGTCACATCGCCACGGCCTTCAAAAACAGTGTTCTCTCAATTTGGTCGTCTGCAGACTTGAATCTCGTGAAAACGGTTAATATCGACTGGTATGATTTGACATGTCTGGACTTTTCTAGGGACGGAAAGAAACTGGCCGTGATGAGCACGAGAGGTAGGAAAATCAAAAGTCTTAAACATTTTACTATTTTCTTTATAATAAAGATAATAGCTGCTCTGTTGACCTATCATTAAGTTCAAACCATTGTTCTTTGTCTTTAGTTTAAATCTTTGATTCCGTTATTTTTAAGATAATAAACGCAACTCATTGTAACCATGAAAAAAGTTTTCCAGGTGGTATGACTATTATTTTCCTTAAAAATGACGTCAGAAGTTAGTCCTTGGATGCTGTTACATATGTAAACCTAACATAATGTGATTTCTTACAATGTAGAAGAAAATGATGAAATTGAGTAAATTTCAAAATTTTATAAATGTTCTCAAATGTATGCAAAGTTTAAACTCTGAGTTACAAGATTGTCTATTGATTTAAGATTTAGTTTTGAGAAAACTTATAAATTAATTGAACACGCTCCACTCTCAGTATCATAAAAATATAATTTTCCTTTCAGGACTTATTTTGTTGGATACGAACGAGTACAATGTGACATCAAAGACACCAGGAAGTTGCTATACCAATCTTTGCTGTGCTTTTCATCCAACGGGCTCATGGGTAATTCTATATTTAGCAACATGCAATTAGCTGAAACCTTTGGGCAAAAATTAAATGTTTTTACTAGGAGTATGGTCATTTATTCTAGTATGGATGATAAGCATTTTTATCATTGGAATGTCATGTTTATTTTTTTTAATATAAGCAACGTGATATTACATTAAAGACGCGGTATTTAAATTCAACTCTAAAGGTAACCTATTGTTTGAAACACTCACTACAATTATATAAACACTGAGGCATTTGACCTAAACTGTTGTTAGACGGACGGACATCATTGAAGTCAAACTCCATATAGCGGATACCTCCCCTAGCGGTATAACAAGGGGCGGGCATCGAGTTTTGAAGTATAATCAGAGTGATTGCCCCTGATTTATAAATAACATCATATGTTACGTTGAATGATAGCTGATGTTTCCTACTTAGGTAATGACTGGCGGAGATGACAGCTGCGTGGGTATATGGAACGCCGAAACCGGCGCCTTTATCTCAAAAATGAGAAAACACACTGCTTGGATTTGGTCCATACAATTCACCCCTGACGGTAAACATATGTTTACAGGCTCCTCCGATAGATCAATGAAAGTATGGCAGATGGGAGAATCTCGTTGGGATGTCATAGCAACAGTAGGGGGTCACTCACACAGGGTCAGCATGATTTCAATTACAGGAAGTGGTGATAAAATTGTCACCTCTTCATTAGACAGGTATGTGCCCAGAATGCTTCTGATATCCTTCAAAACACTTAATTTGACATACTTGTGAAGTAATGCCCTACTTAAGAGATGATCATCAATGTATAAAAGCACATTTAAAAGATCACCAAGGTTATAGGTTATTGCAGGAGATGATGATGTTATTATTATCATTGTTTGTTTGTTTGTGGGGTTCTTGCGTTGTTTTTTAAAGAATAACATGAAATTTAACCAACTTTTGGCCAAAAGGCTTTTTTTAATTGGATGTTTTCAATATCGGACGGTCAGCTTGGGTTTTCGAGCGATCAAAGGTCAAGGGAATGAAGTTCTACTTACATAATTTAGTATATATTTATTATATATATATATATATGTATAATAAATTATACAATCATACGTAGTTTGTTTTATAGATTAATTTTTAAAAAAAGTTTTGGCATTGTATATCTGCACGACATGTAGGTAATTCAAGGTAACTTCAATCTCTTTTAACGCCTGGTATTGTACTGATATAACCGGTCATGTTTGATGAAAGTTGTCTTACTGTAATGTTTCCCGCCAAACAAATCTAACATCGACCAAAACCGTAGCAAATAAGTTATTTCCGGAACGTTTTTTTTCTTCAAAATCTTGGGCATTAGATTATTGACAATCACGCATCCTTTATCGTATGTACTAAATTCCGGTTATTAACTGTTAATTATACATGTATATATAAAGATTATATAGAATACCGAAGAGTGTGAAAAATGGCATTCCGGGAATGACCGATTTATTACGATATTAGTCGATGTTAGAATTTTTTGGCGGGAAGGCATTTCAGTACTATTAACCAACAATAAAACACAAGGGCAATAATTGTAATTTTAGATCACTAAAGGTATGGGACACAAAAACTCTACTACAAGGCGCTGTGCCCCCTGTCGGAAGCGGTCATTACCTCACATGTATGACGTCACCAAATGGAGCATTGGTTGCAATTTCCCAAGGTTGGAGCAGGGTATGTGGGATACTGGAGACAGGAAATCCTGATCAGGAACCAAAGAAGTATACCGAGGCTCATACAGGGTTTATAAAAATGGTACAGTTCAACCATGATGGCAGTTGCTTGTATGTGCTTGACCATGGACATTGTGGAACATACGATGTAAGAACGTTAAAGATAATTATCACCTTCTCCAGACACATCTCTTCACACTCCCCTTCCCCCCATCATTCCTCGTTTAAAAAATAAGATGATTTTCAAATTTCTGATTGAATGTTTTTCCTATACGGAGTTGGCCTTGTTAAAGTTCTAGGTTTTAAAATGGAAACAATACAGAATTAAAAAGGCAGATTGTCTTGTGGTTACTGGCTATTTTAATAAGAATTTCCAATCAAATAGGTCATGGGTAGGAGTCCTGTGAGTTACGACAAAATACCTCATACGGCGTCCGTAGCCGATTGGTTAAGGTGTGACTCGAACATTGCCTGTCGAGCTGTATTTAAATCCGACAGGATTTGGATCATGAAGTATCAGAGTCACGCTGTATAGTGCTTGAATTAACCGAACAAGACTTTTAATTAACAATGGCAAAATCAATACAAAAGGTCATTTTAAACAGCCGCATTTTCAAAACAAAAAAACAAATCATTATTGACATGTGCTCTTTCATTTTCCGAATCTTAATTAACCAATGAGATGCTTTTTTCAGGCCGGATCAGAAAAGAATGCCCGGATAGAGATTTGCCCGGTATCAGATGATGGCGAAAGCACATATATAGACGTAGAATCACCGTACTGCTTCTCTCTAACGAACAAACACGTCGTCGTCGGTAAGTCATGATTTAAATCTTAATTTTGAAAAATTCTTTTGAGAAAAATTAAGGTGAATGCCTGTGTAAATGTATAACGTTGCTATCTTTTTACATCATTTTATTTTTTATCAAATAAATAAAATCGTTGTTATACATGTATGAACACCTAAATAAAATATTGCTTATGAAATTTATTATTATCAATTTGACCATTAAAAGAAATTTATTGTTGATGATTATGAAGATGAATACTGATGATGATGATAATTATGATGATGATGACGAGGAGGAGGACATTGTTGCTGCTGCTGCTGATGATGATGATGATGATGATCATCATCATCATCAGTAGTACCATCATCATCATCATCATCATCAGTAGTACCATGATCATCATCACGTGACTCATCAGTTTCATCATTATTATCATCATCATCATCATCGGTATCATCTTCATCATCATCATCATCATCATCATCATCACGTGACTCCATTATGTGTCTGTCACAGCGTTATGAATAACATTTGTCAAGGACCAGAAGATTAAGGTACTACTTACAACAGCAATGTCTATCTATTTGTTCCATGAAGCCTTTAATCTTGAACTTCCTTTACGAATTGATAAATATAAGATGTGCATTGTAAAAATTGAAAATCTGTTGCCATTCAATGCAACATTGTTAATGTTTTTCTTGTATTACATATTCTCTAATTCTTACATAAAATTACGTTTTAGGAACATTTTCCGGGTATATCCACATGTTTGACTTAGAAAGCGATAAAGAAATATTCAAATGGAAGTCACGAAGTACAGGGACTATTACCAGGGTAGCAGCATGGAACGGAGGTTCCAGATACCTTGTTGCTGCGTGTTTCGGCCAAGTATGCCAAATATGGGAATTCAAGTAAGCAAATATGTTTTTACATGACTTGGGTGGTTTGTTTGTTTGTTTGTTACATTTAACGCCTTTTCGCAACAGTATTTCAGTCATATAGGCGGGTAGTTTCCTAACCATCGTTCCTGGAGAGTTACACCAGTACTAGACTACCTTCCTCCGCGCTAAACTACCAAAAAATCTCCCGGGGATCGAACCACGCCAGACAGGTAACTGGATTAGAAGTCATCGACTCTAACCCTTCGACCACGGAGGCGGTTGACTTGGGTGGTTAAGCATTTAAAGTTACTTTGTGAATTGTAAGTATAGATCACAGGGTGAAAATAATGATCAACCTGACCGGGACTATAACCTGAAATACTGAAGAGTACCATTCCGTAGCTCTACCAAATGAGCTTCCCGGCTACTTACAGAATTATATTGCTCCACTTTTCGGAAAGGGGTCTTACTACATGTCTGCGTAACAACACCAGACCGTGTTTAATTGCCATTTTTTATTTAAAAGATAGATTTAAAGTAAGAGGGTTGGCAAATGAAAACATTTTACATTCAATGTGTAGCATAAAAAGACGTCATGTAATCACAGGCATATAAATGTATTATGAGAAAGATAACTATTACAAATCTAACTGTTTACCTGATTCTAATGATAATAATTGTTGTCTTGAAGTTCGAAGTAATCGTTTCTCTTAGAATTATTGTTCACAGTTAACTTGTTTAAAATAATCACTGCTTTATAACATAGTAACGTTTCTTTATTTTAGCGGAAGTAGTGTCAATCTCCTGGCCGACTTGACTGAGAATGATTCGGATATTTCCGAAGTTTCATTTTCCCCCGACGGCCGATATCTTGTCAACGGCGGCAACTCTGGAAAACTTTATATATGGGATACTTCAAACAAAAAAGTCACTCTTTATAAAGTGGCTACTGAGCATGCGTCATACATCAAGGATGTGAGGTTCTCAACTTCCGGGAACTATTTAGCGACGTCAGCAGGCCTGACCATGCGCATGTGGGACGTCAAAAATAATTTTAATCTATTTTCGACATATTATGCTCCCGTTAACTGCGCATCATTTTTGAATGATAGTGTAGTTATCGTTGGTGAGGCTACCGGAAACAGGAAGTTCCTGCAATTTAGGAAATTGGTATCAAATTGACGTCATCAGCTGTCATATGACCGGAAGTTTGGCGTAGAACACTTGATTTGTGTACATTAGTTATACCTTTATTTATACATCTTTCTATTTTCTAGTTTATCTAAATTTTGCAATACTTTATTTGCTCAATATTATTTTAATATTTGCAAGTAGGAAACGAAATTAATACAAGTGAAATATGACTTTTTCATTGCGTGGTGACACGGGGCAAAGACAAAAGAACTGTGACGAGGAACCAATCCGGTAGACAGAGATAATATCATTTAACCGTCTTTTACACTCATAAGGGGAGAAAACTCGAAAGCGTGAACTATATGTTGATTCTAGACAACTAGCAGGTGGTTCTGATAATGCCTGTAAAGATATAAGTTGTTTTTTGTTGTTGTTGTTTTTTTTTTTTTGGGGGGGGGGATCAGTTACATAATATTTGATAAAATCTTTATAATGTGTTCTTCTTTTTTCTAAAATTGTTGTCAATTCATAATAAATCTTTAAAAAAAGTGTTACAAAGAATTATCATATTTGATTCCGTTCAATTGTTATTTATTATGCAACAGACTTTTAGAGTTATTTCAATGCGCATACGTAACTGCTTTCCGACCCGATACCCTATCTCTATCTTATATATATAATTAATTTTGGATCAAAATCATGGATTACCCATGAAAAATGCTTGCCTTAGATTGGAGAAACACTTAATAGTATAAATTACTTATCCGGACATTTTTAAATGATTTGAATAATAAAAACGATTGTCTTTTTTATAAATATCGTGCAGTATATTCTGTGTTCCTTTTTGCTTTAAATAATCGTTTCGAAAATGTTAACTACCAAAGAAAGATTACTCTGCATAACAGCATTCTAACGGCTCTATGAGAGTTCCGTCCCTTTTACTCATAAATTTAACAAAGGGGTATTATGCAGCTGATTATATTACTAAGTCTGTCATTTTGAATTTCAAATCATATCTAGCGGATAAAAGTAACGATAGGGACTGAACACTTGTCCCGCTAAAATATCTTTATGTCCCACTGGGCTTTTCCATCTTTCATTCTGGACAAAAGCATGAATCATATTTTCGGGAAAATCATAATAAGTTCTGACTGAAAAGCGAATAGTGCAGAACATGATCTACGGAACGGACTAACCAGCTGATCTTAATCTGTATTGGTGATCCTGTAGACTCCAGCAGGCTTAGAGTGAAGTCTTTATGAATAATATCAGTAAGATATCCAGCTTTCCGATGTCGGTGGTTTTACTGCTGTCGTCTTTCGCAATTTTGTTGACCCGTCGATACGCCTGTATGACTTAAAGGTACTGGCCTACCTTGGCCTCCAGACAGTAAAATGATATAAAAGTTTGTAAAAAGGTATATGATAAATATCGATCTAGACAGGTGTAATTCAATTAATTATTACTACTATAATACTAATTATTACTACTGACATCTAAATTCAAGAAAGAATATTGACAAAAGCGTTTTTCCATTGCATAATCTACTACGTTAGTAACGCAGTAGCCAATATAAATAGGAAACACGTGGTCACAACAGTGGTCCGGGGTCGTATATCATATTTCAAGCTAAAGTTTAAATTGGTCATATATAATTATGATATAATCAATGAATTACATTGTATAATTTTAGTGCCACAAATGACTACAAATATCAAAACAAGAGTAGGTATTCATTTCCCTCTATGTTTGATACGATCCCAGATTCCGTGCGTTCGGACCACAAATCACGATTTTTTCCTGTACAATCACGTTGTACTTGAAAAGAAAAACGGATAAAAGAATTCAGTAGTATACTCCTTTGGCGGGAAAGCGAACTGATTGTTTTCAGAGCAATAATGTTAAAATATGAACATTTTGTCAAGTCTTTTCGATTTCTTTTTTTTTTTCAAGAGGGATTTTGAAATATTAGTAAGACAGAGTAGATTTTTTCTGTTATCTTCTGGAGGCCTGCTGCTTTAAATACCAACTCCACTCCCCTTTCTTCAATATTTCATTTTTTAGCAGTTGAACAGTATTTTGGTTATTTATGAATAATCTTTAATAACCTGAAAGCATAGTTGCATCCTTACAATTTATTAAGTTTTAACATGTTTACTCAAATTACTTCAATAAAGGTTCTTTATGTGTCATATAAAATATACTCATTTGCAACAGAAAGTGTGCACTTGGTTTCTTGAATCGAAATAGAAGAAGAAAGTTCCCAACCATACAATAGTATCAATTGTCGTGAAGTTATTAGAAAAATATCAGAAGTTTAGTTTCATGTGAAGATGAAAAGTAAAAGTTGCAAAATTGTTATTGTTTTAAGGTTTTTTTTGTTTGTTTGTTGTTTTTGTTGTTGTTTTTGTTGGTGTTGTTGATGTTGTTGTTGTTGTTTTAACTTTTTTTACCGCACAAACCTGACGTAACGCCATATGGACTTTGGTTTCCATTCAAAAATTCAAGTAATTTAAGTAATTGTCGATATGAAAAACAAGCATAGCTACAATTTAGTGCAGTGCAAGATAGACTCTTATGATAAGCAAATATTGCTACAATATATGCAATGCGAGATAGACGCAATTCGCTTCACTGAACCTCTGGGTCAGAGGGGCTAAAATTGCGTTTTGAAAATGAAATCTTTAATAATCTTCTGTGAACGTCTAATGTCTAAAGCTTAGATATTTTGTATGTAGTATCATGTAATGAAACTTTAAAATAAGATTGTTCATTTATAGTCCAGGGTGGAGTTAAAATTTAACCCAGTGACCAACAACTTTTACTATTGAAAGCTGCAGCATTGAAAACTGAACTTCTGTCACAGATTCGGATGCCGTTTCGTGTCGAAAGGAAATTTGGCGTAATGTTTCATTTTCTTATTTTGATATGTCGATGTGACTCTCTAAACAAAAAAAAAATAAAATAGTTTCTGCATGACTTTTAAATATTAAATAAAAATAATTTTCGAATTAAAACGTGATATGATATACAATTCAAGTTAGGCGTGATATGATATACATTGCAAGTAAACCGTGATAGGAGATGCACAAATGATATTTCTTCTTCTTTATTTCTTAAATATAATGATCAATTCTATACTGAGTTGTGCAATAAACCGATCGTTTCGTCTAGACTCTGATTTTATTCAATGTTACAAACAGTTTGTCTTCACACAAAAACAGTCACATCTACGAAGAATAAATTTATAAATAAAGAAACACGCACACTTTACATCGCACTTTTGTGTCCATATAAAATGAGATATAAGCTGAGAACGGGTGCATAAGAGAATAATAACAAAATAGCTGTCAATCTGACACAGTAAACTTCACACTTTATTGGAAATAGCTTAGTCCATTAGCAAAAATTTGTAGAATTTCTGGACTTCACACATTACATTATATACGCTTATTATCACACGTTTTTTCTGTCACATTACCTGATAGTGTAGACAAGATATAAAAAGATAATAATTAATTATTGATAAGGTTACGTATAAGAATTCCTTTTAAAAATTGAAACTTACTATATTAAGGGTATTGCATGTGGTATAAACAATACCTTTTCAATAATTTAAAAATGACAGCGTTAAAGTTTCAATGTTATATTTTATATTAGATAATCTCTGCTTACCAGTCCCTCATCTTTATACATTGTTGAAAGAATTGTTATATTTAAAACAATTCAGTGTTTACATACAAAACATACAAAACTTTTATGGAATATATAGCCACTGAGGTTATTTATGACATGGGCACTACTAAAACGAGAGTATCAGAAAATATGGAATTCGGGGCTGACTACAGCAAAATAAAACCCTTACTAAGGCAATTGAGCATGTGTACATATTTGTGTACCAACCCAACTGAAAAATTCAAAACCTTTTTAAGGGGTTTAAGTTTATTAATTTAGAGGGAGTTGTAATACAACAAATTATTTTAGGTGTAATACGGGAAATTACTTCAATTAAGTTTGATTTATGAAAATACTGTCTATTAAATGTCATAGATCATAAGGGAGGAAGACAATGTATTACGCCTGAATGACTTGTTGTAAGTAAACATGTAATATCCAACTTCAGGAAATAGTTGTGACCTCTGTAAATGCCATTGTTCCTGTCATTTAATATTACCAAAACAATTTAAAATGTTGTTACGCCCGTATACAAGGGTATATACTCGTTACGTCGTAAATTTATATTTTGCCATAACTCCGCTAATTTTTTATAATTTAATTCGCATGAGCAATAAATAACTCACGTGGCTTAAGAAAACTTCTTTTAATATCTATTTAAATTCATCTGCAATGTTCCATTTATTTAAAGAGTGGGGAGGTCTTTTCATTTTATAGGCATATCCAGATCTTGTCAATAACAACTATTAGTCAATCACCATTTTGACAGTCATTTTTGTTTCAAATATTAAATTGTTAATTCAGTTTAAATGAAAATATGAGCAAATTTTCACTTTAAACAAGAAGCATACGAACGCTGACGATTTCAATTATTTCAAATTTATTATCTATGAAATATGAAACTTTTCAATAAATATTTAATGTTTATTTTACATAATGAACCATCGACAGATTTTCTTTCATAAGAGTGAATGAATCTCTAATTGTCTATAAAATAGTCATAAATTACTCAGTCGCAAATATAATGCGTTGTATTATGATACTTTATGTTTCAATTTGGGTTCATTTGATCCACTGCTGATTTATTCGTGTTCATTTGATCTAATGATCACAATTGGAAACAAATGTATCAAATATATTAAAGAAAAAAATGAAAATGTAACTCGTCGCGACATTTCCAATACTTTGCAATAGCCGCCCTTTGAATATCGATAAAATCATAGCAGAAGACACTGCCGGCTGCTAGCACCGGTGAACGCGCCATTTTCCCAATACATACGTCACACAGTGTAGAGAATACCTAAACGCTCGTAACTCATGTTTACATTTTCCTATTGTTCTTTATAAAAGATTCATGGAATGGATTTTGCAATTTTGTCAGCAAATTATCGCGTAGTTTATACAAAAGAAATTCTGGATATTTATGTGGTATTCTAGTGAAATCTAACGTGATGCAACGCAATGTATTTTTCTATCTGGAAGGAAGTCTTCCGAAGTATTACATAGCCTGTTTTGGAGATGACGACAGCATCGAAGTCTGCAGGTAGGTTCATAAAACACTATGTCTGGCATAATAGGTTATTTATAGAATTTCCAATCAGCAGTTAGCATAAGTATTTAAAGCAAAAGACTATATAGCCGTTTTATGGCGGCATTTGATGTAATATCGACGCAGAAACGTTCTCGATAATTGATTGGTATACATTTTAGTCAATGTTTACTCTAGGCTACTGTGTTAAAGACGGGAAGATATTGATGTTTAGATTGTGTTTAAGGTCATGTTTGCTTACGGCGCTCGTAAGAATTGGCTTTCGTAAGAATTGCTGCATTAAGAAAATCGGGTCAATATGTAATTATTTATAATTTACTTTGCGATGAAATTACATAGGGTTACTGGGTTATTGCAGTTTCTTGCAACCATTTATCAGTCAAAATATTGCTCTATATCGTTGTGCAATATGTGGCCAGTGCTATAGCGTAGTTCTATAAAGTTCTTATCGGTTGTCAATAAGTTCCTGATAATAAAATCTATACAATAAAAAAGCATGACATTGGAATTTTATTATAAGTTGCTACCCCGTGAAATATTGAATTACAGATATAGAACCGTTTTGTCTCGTCCGTGAGTCTGTATCTGGAGAAATATATCATTTGTAGGATGCCGAATATAATAGGAATGAACAACAGCAGTAAAACTGCTTAAATCTTTTTAAACTTTGATTTATAACGCCATCCTTTAAAGCCATTTTAAGCACTTTATTAGTAAAAAATAATTTATCACTCGAACAATATTAAAAATGTGTTCAAGGTATTCAATCACTTGATTTGTAAGAATAACAGATTATCTGCGCTGTAAATTGTCGTGTGCAAGCTCGTGTATGAGGAATTATTTTGTTATGATACTGTGTAAAACTCATATTGGCTACAGATTATTAATTACGGTGGAAGAAAACATTTGCTGTCACCAGCAAACTGCAGTTTTCTTGCAATACTAGGAGGTTGCCTTGACCTAATCGCCAGGACATTGTTGTGTTCACTGTCTTGAAAACAATCAAAACAAAACAAAAAACAATATAAAACAAACAATAAGATAATTTTGGAATCACTACCCTCATGAACAAATTTACATATTAGCACCCGATTTCCATCTCTTCTAAACACCCCTAGTCAAAACAAACAACAAACAATAAAATATTTGTATTCTAAAATGTTTGTAAAATTTGTTACTTTTTGACGTGGTGCAAGAGTACTCTATGTGTTGATGTGAAAAAAATATCGTCAAATGGAATGTCACTTCATTTATCACGCGTTAATAATACAATAATACCTTATGTGGCACACAATAAGTTCATATTATTTGAAAACTTAGAATAGAAAAAAAGCTAGAAAAATCAAACGCATTTTCTCTAGAAGTGTTTACTCGATTTGTGACCAGCTCTTATTGAAAAGTGTGTTCAAACAATAGTAGCATAAATATTGATTGTTTTTCATTCAAATATTTTCTTGTTTAAGATACAAAAGCCGTTATATTTGTTCGATTTTCTTGCTATTTGTTGTTTCTACAGTCCTATAAACTTCGCTATAATGTTTACATTACATATTGATGTACACAATAATATAAAGTCTGCTCCGCTAACTGATGATGTTATTTCAAATCAATGACACAAGCTCTGCACGTATGGAGACGGGCGTTTCTAACGAAAAGACAATTACCTTCTATCGAACGTAGCTCGTGCAAAGTAAATTAATAAGCGCTTCTCTTTGACAGTAGACGCTTTCTTTATTGTGTCATATAACGTGATTGTTAAATGTCATGACGACGCATGCCAGTGCAAAAAATAAAAACTGTGTTGTCATGAAATTGTCCTTGATGTCAGTCGCTATGTTCACCGTAGGGAACGTGTTACAGTATCGCGTTTTTGGGTTACAGTATAGAAATTTCAAGATGGAGGATCATTTATGGGAAGAGAGGCAGGTCATTTTTACTCAGGTTCATACTACTAGTAGTTTAGTTTCTAAAATATGTTTTTGTGCTTAACTTGTAAGGAACAGAATCCGGTATCTAGTCATATATTTCTTCAGACCCTGCACCGCTGATTTATCTCTATATTGTCTCATAAATGTGCAGAATTGACAGTTTAAAAATTTTAATCGAGAGACCAACGCATTTTTCTTCCATTCCGACATTATTAAAGCATGCCTAGATAAAGTAAATCTACAAAACGTTAGTCATTTGTGTTTAGAAACGTTTATAAAAGTAAATGACCAGTAGAACCTATTTTCCTGTTCGTAAAATGCGTTTGAAAAAATAAACAATGTTACAGTATAGAGCGAGGTTAATTTTGAAGGGTTACGGCATAGACCTAGCGACTTTGATCCAATTATGTTACAGTTTTTACCCAGAGTTCGGTTACAGTTTAGATACTTGCCAAATTTCAAACAAAGTTCGTGTATCCATTATTTTAATGAAATAACTGATACCTTTCTATTTAATACATTCTTGAAAGGTTGTATTACTTTTTTTCAGCAGAAAAGTTATAGTTTGCTATTTTTCTTACTTTCCAGAATAAGTAATGTGCTAAGTAAGGACTGTTTTCACGACAACAACAGTAACTTTTATCGAATTGTATTGAGAGAAGAAAGATTATTGCTTGATTTCATTACACATTATAATAATGCCTATTAGTAATTAAAAAGAGAAAAAAGAATCCTTAACAGAAGTCCAACACGGAAAACATGAAAATGTTGCAGGCTCAGTTTGATTAAACCTGTTCATGGACGGTAGTGGTAGCTGCAAGCTACCGTCCACGCCTCCTACCACCGGCTTCAGCAGAATTCACATTAAACATGAACTAGTACACTTTAGATTTTTTAACATCTGTGGATGTGTACATATGGCGGTTATCATGGAACTTTCAATGTGACACGTTATTGCCATTCTATGAAAAGCGGCATCTTACCACCAGGTTAAAAATTGCGTGTGCCCTAAACGAGAATACAATGAGTGAAACTAAATAAAATGAAATTTTGTGAGGGGATCGGAGGTTATGAAGCCTGCATACCATAGATAAGCTGTCAAAAGACACAATTAACAAGTAGGCAATACCCTAAGAATGATTAATCAGTATTTGAGTGAGCAATACTGCAATCTTAAATTTTATTTTAAGTTGGAATTTCCATCTACCATAATGTATTTTGTAAGTATTTAAAAGGGTTTGTTACGTTTGGCTTTCTTGGATTTTAAGTTTCAACGACACTGAGGTCATGTGAAAACATTCCTGCTTTAGTGTAAAGAAATACCCCAGATACCCTTTGTGAAACATTTCAGACACAAGCGGGCACCTGACTAGAGCCACCGACCTTCCGTAAATTAGCTTGATATATTCCTCACATAAAAAGAATCCAAAGTCATAATTGGATTTCAACTACAGCAGTAAATGAAAGATGATTTGATATGGACGGCCTTATCCCGACTCTGCCACTATTATGTACCTCCATCAGGCTCACTGGAGTAGATATTGTAATTGTCTGACCTTAATTTATACTCTATAACTTTCAATATTATTTTCTTTTTCAGAAACATGAAAACTGCTATACAGGATGTCTGAAATAAAAAAAAAACGACTTTTAATTTAATAATGACAAAATAATCGTAACTTCAACAAAGAAGCATTCAAAATGACGCCATGATCATGATTTGATTTGAATGTTTTTTGTTCGAGATGAGAAGGGTCTTCAAACATTGCCTTTTTCAAAATCTATGATTTGGATTTTCGTATCCCCGATTACAACCAAAACCATTTGAACAACTTAGGTAGAAAGTCATGTAAATTTCATCACATTTAGTCAAGTTGCTACTGAGCGGATGAAATTGCATATACATGTGTACGACAGACGGACTAATAGCCATCGGGCCAATAAGCTCACAGAGATTTAAAAGTCTATGTAACATTCATACATTTTACCTAGTATATATAGAAAATATCGAAGTCTAAACTGTAACTGAAATATGGGTATAAACTGTAACAAAATCGGATAAAAATCGCTAGGTCTATGCTGTAACCCTGCTTAAATCACCTCGCTCTATACTGTAACATTGTTTATTTTTTCAAACGCATTTAACGAACAGGAAAATAGGTTCAACTGGTCATTTACTTTTATAAACGTTTCCTAACATAAAGGACTAACGTTTCGCATATTTACTTTTTCAAGGCATGCATAAATATTGTCGAAATTGGAGAAAAATGCGTTGGTCTCTCGATTCAAATTTTCAAACTGTCAAATCTGCATATTTATGAGACAATATAGCGATAAATCTGCGGTGCAGAGTCTGAAGAAATACATGACTAGATACCGGATTCTGCTCCTTACAAGCAAAGCACAAAAACATCTTTTAGAAACTAAACTACTTGTAGTATGGACCGGAATAAAAATCACCTACCTGTCCTCCCAACAAATAATCCTCCATCTTTAAAATTCTATACTGTAACCGGAAAACGCGATACTGTAACACGTTCCCTACGGTGATGTTTGTTGTTTTGTTACAAATGTCTGCATTAAAGGTACTCCACCCTGAAAAACATAAAATTTGAATTTCTTAGATAGATAAGTTGGGGCACTTAAAACTGAACGATATGTGAAAAGAAACAAGAAATATACTTATAAATAAATAAAAAATACGTATTTTTTGCAATTCTCAGGCAATTTGAGTTGCAACACTTTTTAATTTGGGGTCATTTTCACAATTAGAATTAATTATTCTGAAAAATAAAAACGGAGTGAATGAATCGTCTGATTTTTTTACACAAGTTAACAAATTACACAAGTCAAGACATACATTAAATTTAACATTGATCTGAAAAAATATCAATCTCGTCATGTCAAAAATACTGAGTGCAGTCCCTTTAAAGCACATAATATAACATGGGGGTTTAAAAAACATTAGGTAGGGAAGTAGGAATATCGCAAGTGGATAAGACGTTTGTTTTAGGAGAAAAAATCATGTATACGTGTATCACATTCTGGAAAGCACGAGTATATTTC